CGATGGCGGTGGTGGCGGTGGTGGTGATGGCAGCCTCTTGTCTTGCGTAGCGTCGTCAAGAGCATGGCCGTCCCTGTTACAACGTTTCTGGGGTTGTGTGCTAGGCATGTTCCTGGTCCAGGGCCCAGGATCTGCACGGTTCCGTCTGCTACTTGGGATCCGCAACGGCGCTCCTCATGCCCGGATAAGGCTCCCCGCCTGTTGCTCAAAAGCCTGGCCCCTTCTTTCCGCTGCCTGCTCAGCATATCTTAGCTTTAGGCTAAAGAGGCTTGGTATGGGACTAGGCTGCCGCAGCCCATAGGCCTAGGATGGAGTTTGAAGCGTAGAAGGGGTGCAGCCTTCGAGAAGCAAGCGCTTCTACGATCCATTTGGGTGCGACCTCTTCGGCCGCTGCCCCTTGCCGCAAGCAGCGTAATCTGCTGTTGTATGTGTTGGTAGTGTTCAACTACGACAAAATTTTGTTACTATGTTGCTGCCCTATTACAACATGATATGGTTTCGACTCAACATGATATGGTTTAGGGTCTGAAGGTCTAGGAAGTTCTAGGAAGGTCTTGGTTCGGCTTCTGCTTGTAGCCGCTTTACCTCAGAATCCTCCGCATGCCTTCAACAACATGAACCTGAGAACGAGTCTGAGCTAGCTTGCTGAATTCATCAGATCACGAGCTCCAGTAAGCTGTTTGTAAAGCAGGGTTCCTGCACTTCTCTATGCGACGATCGATACTAGCATGTCCATGTTTTGCCTGCCGTCACTGCCGATACGATTCGATGAACAGCCATAATGCATCCAAATATCTAGTATCACTGGTAACTCTTGCAGCTGCGCTGTTTTCAGCGCGCAAGGCTTTGGCAAAGCCATGGTGTCTCCTACGCAGTCGGCCGGCACCTGAAACCAGCTGTCGGGACCCCCCCAAGAACCCGAAGCCCTTCGACCAAGAAAGGGCAAGATCTACCGAATAGGGTCGAACTCCTCCCTCGTGTAGTCTCAGGCACCTCCCGAACTTTCCAGAATTTCCCGGCACACTTCCGCATATCAAGACGTCATGGAACCTAGGCCCCTCGCAAAACGCTCAATATGACTGCCAGGACCAAAGAGGCGCCATGACGAGAATCCCGTGCAGACATTAGCCCAAACGCTTTCTGGAGTCGTGGCGTCAAACAGGCCCACACTTGCTCTTATGGACCGACCCGGCACCAAGCTTGATGTTGAGGCCTAAACGTGGACGGCCTACTTCCTCTCGTGTTCTGTGCCATCAGATGTTGGGTACTATCATGACAGTCACTGTCGGAATTCCTCTCGCCAGGTCGTTCGTGCTAGCAGGGGCTATCATTGTGACCACGGCTTTGCGCGTGATTTTAAGCATGATGAATACGACGTTTGCTCTGCCCATAGGAAGAAACTGCCTATGCAGGCCTATGCGGACGAGCGGAGATATCTGTGACGATGGTCATGATGACGATGACCACTACTATTCAGCTATGATTGCTCGAAGAGGGGCTAAGGCCAACTGGTCTAACCAGAGTCCCGAAACGAGGCCCAGCGTCACCAGGGTGCAAAGGCATCGTCGAGGCCTCAGCCAAGAGATCTAAGTGCTCGGCCGAGTCCCAAGCACTACACCACCAAGGAACCTCAACAGCTCCATCAACCAACCTCGACCCAACATCCAATATCCCACACCCGAACACCGAACTGAGGTCCCAGGCCTTCGCCACAAGAATTGCCGGGCAGGAAGTGTCTCAAAAGTCACCAGCGCTCTTGCAGCCGGGCACTTCACAGCTCACAACCCTTCTACTTCTACTACTACCACTACTAGCACCACCACCACCACCACCACCACCACTACTACTACTACGACGACGACTACGACGACGACGACGACGACTACTACTACTACTAATTACTGCTTTTACTACTACTACTACTACTACGACGACGACGACGACTACTACTACTGCTTCTACTACTA